AGATCTTTTAGATCTCGTTAGTAAGGATCAAAATGGCTGAGGTGACTGATACCACTTTATTAAAAAATACTCATTTTGATTTAGATAAATTAAAGTGAAAAAATCTAAAAATAAAAGTATAAACATCAATTTCAGCCAAAACAATAACTCAAGCTCTTTTTTCCATTTCAGATAGTGTAGTGAAGAAGGTTGCTACTTGCAGTGGCGGATCTTGCGATCAAATGTTGGGTGTTTAAAATTATTTTATTGTTAAAATATTATACGAGTAAGTAATATTGAAAAAATGTAATTTTTCCAACAACAAAAAACTAGCAAATAGGGTTTAAGGGTAAGAAATGTTATAAACAAAATACAATATTTTAATTGTTACATCAATTTTATGTGTACTTTTACATTTAATTTTCAAATTCTTGGGTGTTCAACTGAACACCCTTGAAGTCTTGAACTAAAGCCTCTGCCACTGACGGTATGGTAGAAAAATCTGTTTATAATCTGATATTGAAAGATCACACAGGTTATCAAGTTAGCGATCCGCTCTCTGATCCATAAAATAGCTTTAAAAGTACAGATGTTAAAATGAATGTAGCATAATAATACCAACCTTTGCGACTAATGCATAGTGCAGTGTACTGTTCCATTAACACAATTTAAATTGAAACAGGAATGCACGTTCTTCTCAAAATCCAAACAACCAAACACAATTTAAATTGAAATAACAATGCACATTCTTCTCAAAATCTAAAAAAATATCATAATGAACAGGCCTGAAAAATGATTATAACAACTGTATGCTTAAAACATTCAAAAAATAAGGGACAATCAAGGACATACCTTCTGATGCGATTATCATGCCATAGAATGTAAATGAAATTGTAGTGGCGATCCCCATAATAGATGATGAAAAGAACTGAGGAGAACCAAAGAAAGTTTTCTACAACCTCAACCCAACTCCGTGTAGTAGGAAATGGGGGTGACTCCGTAAAACTTCTAGAACAAGCATCATCCTCAAGATCATCACCACTTGAAAAATACCCTTGACTGTGCCTCTGCCTCACATATCCACCTCCAACAGTTGGAGATCCACCCGACATATCCTCACTAAATTCTATGGTAAATGCTAAAACGTCCTCACCTTAAAAATGCATCTCAAGAATTGTATCCTCATCTAAATTACCCAGCACCCAATCAACAAACTCAAATTCTAATCAATCACAAGAAATCTCACTGTCAATTCACAATGCCACCTCTTGAACAGATGTATAAGCATGTCTATCCAAAGGCAGCTAAAACCAGAGAAAACCACTTGTTCAATCCCACAAGTTCATGATGTGAAATAATCATAACACTCTTCAATCTCCAGAGATATCTCAAAAAATACAAATATCTGATAAATCCCACAGCTAAGATCAAAACTTTCACACAACCCAATTCACGCATTACCGAAATAAATAAGAATAGGAAACCTCGTGTGGGTATATCCTACTGCAATTAATGCATTCCTGGGAAAACTCCCCAGCATTCAAGAATTGCAACACACCTCAATTGCCAGAGACCCTTATGATTTTCTCTGGATTCATGAATGAAATGACCATATCAATGCAACAGGAAAGAAGAACATATGGCTGAACGTTACCAAAACTACTCAGAATCGTGCATCTCTTTGGTGTTATATCAATATAAAACCAAATAGCCTCGATTAGGAGTTTTCAGAGGCTTTGGTAGGGTTGGAAGAAGGCGACCCACATGGGGTTCGAATAATTTAATGCTCAGATTATGTTCGTTACTTCGAATTGGAACTTGGAAAATTTTGGTTCATGATACATTCAAATTTGGTAAAAGAAAATATTTACCAACCCTAAGTTTACCATTTTGGAAGATAAACTTTTATTTACTTCCTCTAAAATTAAGAAAAAATGGGCAAATAAGCACATCTACAAACAAAAAAAAGTCAAATAAACTCTTATATAGGAGGACAAGGCTATGTCCGGCAGTCGCTATTTAGGGCGGTTCCGGTAAAATGTTTTGATGAAATATTTTGAGCATCTTATTCATTAAGGCTTTGTTTGCAAGTGCTTGTGTTTAAATAAAAGTACTTTTTGGGAAAAAGTGATTAGTAGTAAAAGTTGATAGTATTTGGTAAAATAAGTGTTTTTTGTGTAATAGAAAAAGTAAAAAGTAGATTCTACACGAAGGCCGAGAAAGTAAAAGTTGGTAGTGTTTGAAAAAAATAAATGCTTTTTTCTTAAAAAAAAGCCACAAGCACTTAAATTAAGGGCTTGCAAACAGAGCCTAAGTCTAGTTTACTCATACCAAATTTCGGCTAACAATTCAATCGGGAAGGCATTCAAATGAATTCTTGAAGATAACTGCACTTTTAATTGCACACTTATCTTCAAGAATTCGTTTGAATGTCTTCCCAATTGAAGTGTTAGCTGAAATTTGGTATGAGTAACCTAGACTTAAAGAATAAGATGCTAAAAAAATCTCATCAAAAAATTCCACCGGTAACCGCCCCAAATGGCGACGGCCGGACAGAACTTCCTATATAAAGACTTATTTGACCTTTTTTTATTTGTACGCGGACTAATTTGCCCCTTTTCCTTAAAATTAATGACTAACTATTTAAAGTTAGGAGTATAACATTTTAAAAACTCAGATGTTTTTTTACTTACTAATTTCAAGTAATCTGAGCTTTTTTGCCTCCCATCATGGCCGATCATACTTTTTTGGCTAAAGGGTCAAATAGACCCCTGAACTGACTTAAAGTGTTCAATTAGCCCCTTATAAAGGAGGTTCTGCCCGGCCGTCGCCAATTGGGGTGGTTCCCGGTGGAATTTTTTGATGAAAGTTTTTGAGAATCTTCTTCATTAAGTCTAGTTTACTCATACCAAATTTCAGCTAAAAATTCAACCGGGAAGGTAGTTAAATGATTTTTTAAAGATAACTGCGAAGTTAAACAGCGTAGTACATTTCGGAAAATCATTTGACTGCCTTCCCGGTTGAATTTTTAGCTGAAATTTGGTATGGGTAAACTAGACTTGATGAAGAAGATTCTCAAAAAATCTCATCAAAAAATTCCACCGGGAACCGCCCCAATTAGCGACGGCCGAGGCAGAACCTCATATATAAGGGGCTAATTGAATACTTTAAGTAAGTTCAAGGGCCTATTTGAACCTTTAGCCTACTTTTTTTTAAAGGACCGATCATCTTACTTTCTTAAAAGATCAACATAATAACGAGGAAATGGTCAAAATGATATATGAAGTTGTTTCAACGGGAGTAAGTAGTATTTCATCTTGCATTTGAAATTTTAAAGTACATTAACTAGTATTTTTATAGTCAATCAAGTACATTTGCTCTATTATAACATGAACTATTCGTTTGTGTTATACAATTGTGGTCCAAATCATCAAATAATTAATTTATAAACTCTATTTTCCTCCAGTCCACTCGTTTTCACCTTCGCTCTTCATCTCCCTTCTTTCCGATCTATATCTTATATTTCTCTCGTCTGCTTTCCCTGCTATCCTGTTGGCTTCTTCGTTTTGCTCTATTTTATTTTTTTCTTCTCTTGCTATAATAAAGATGGGCCGATATCAAATAAAAGAAGAAATCGACGGGATAGCAGGGAGAGAAGACGAAAGAAAAGGAGAGCAGCACGGGCGGAGCTAGAGGGGCCAACCTAGATCCTGGTCCACCTCAAATTTAAAAAATGCTTTGATTTTAAAGTAAAAGTTCTGTGTATTTTTCCCCAAAAATATTCTTTGTAATGCTCCAGTTCGGCCCAGTGTCTTAGCTCCGCCCTTGCAGAGCAGACGGGAGAAATATAAGGTAAAGATCAAGAGAAGGGAGAGCAAATGTGAGAAATATGAAACGAAGAGCGAATGTGGAAACGAGTGAACTGGAGGAAATTAGAGTTTATAGATTAATTATTTGATGACTTGGACTAGAACGATATATTACAAACTGATAGTTTGGCCAGACAAGCTATTTTAACGTTTTAAAAGAGCAAATGTACTTAATCAACTTTAAAAATGTACTTCATATGCTATAGTTTCAAGTGTAAGATGTACTAACTCCACTTGAAACAATTTCATGTACCACTTTGACCATTTTCTCATATAATAACGCATGTTTTGATCTCAAATTATTTTAACAAATAATTTCATCAAATAATGTGTGTTATTCAAGCATTCTACTCTTGAATATTACATCACATAAATCTCACATCTTCAAGGATACCTTCATAATCTCATATCATGTTAAAATCTGATTATGAACAACCACACAACAATAATGATTGAAAATTAATATACCTATATATCACTATCATTCTATTCACAACTTGTTTAATCCTTAAATTCGTATTGTTAATTCTATTGCAAGAAAAGTCGAACTATAACTTATGGGTTATTACCAATATAAAATATTTACGATTTCCATCCGATTGTATGGATTTGATCTCATTATTAATAAAGTGATTGAAAAAATAAAATTTGTGACAGAAATTTGAATATAATCAAGTGAAATACGGAGTATTATATATCACATATTTTTTTACCAAAAGAAAATGTGACACTTATTTTAGAACAACCCGAAAAGAAAAGTAGGATAAGTAAATTAACAATAAATGGAAAATAATTAACAATAAATGGAAAATAATTAACAGGTCACAGCCGATCAATATAATCGGGTTCAAAGAACATGTAAATGGCAAATTACGTTTTGGGACTTTTTGGCCATTGTGGCTACGAATATAGTAATATACGATGACTTGGGGGCTTTTTGGTCTCCAAATAACGGCATGTCAACAACCATTGCTGGTGAGGGAATATGAAATCATGAAACCAAACGACAAAAAGGCAGTATAGCGTGCAACTCAACAGTTAAAAACATCAATTTTTGTTTAACACTATTCTGGATTTCTTAAAACTCAGGGTTACTCAATTGATTTGAATCTAAGAACAAAAATATCAAGCCACTAATCTGATTATCTGAATGCCCAGTCGTTAACTTCAGAAGCAGCGGGATCAATCAAGCCAGATAACCCGAACACCAGCGTTATAAAAAAAACATAAATAATTAAAACATCATATTGAATTTCATCGAATCTTTTGGGGACTAAAACTTGGATGATGTTGTTGTATCAAAATTGAACACCTTTTCCTTTGCCCCGCAAATACCACATTAATTAGAAGAATTCGAGACTACTATTTAATTAGTCATTGAGCCACTGCTCAAGCTAACCAAGTCCAGCAAAGTAGAGTACAATACACCCAAAGACAAATAGCCTAAGAACTTTCTTCTCTCGGATTCGCCATTACAAATTTCAGCTTGAAGCTTGTGTTCCTCTGAATAGCCATCCTCCATCACCAACCACCAAGAGATGCATCCTATTGGATCTTCAGGGTCAATGTGGGCTACGAGGCCAACCGTTTCCCCTTCTTCCATTTCAAACCACAATGACAAAAAGTCTCTGTTAGCCTTTATACCCACCATAAGAGCTTCCTCGTGAAGCCACCGTATGACTTGGCTGGCTACCTGCAATAAAAAGTTGCATGGCATGCTCAGATCTGTGTTTTCAAAAAGGTGGCTTGGGCAAGTATGGTTCCTATGTAGTCACTACCAAATGTATTTACTACAAGCAGGTAGGTCCATTTCACATCAAAATTTAAGAGGCCCCACCGCAAAGTGAGATGATGGAAAAGTATGTAGAGTAGTATAAAAGTAAGAAAGGGAAGATGAAGTAAACAAACACAAATGGAGTATCTAATAACCTCCACAACAGACATTTTATCATGTCAAATATATATTAAATATAGATTTTGCCTCTAATGTAAAAATAATAATATGATTACAATGTATGAAAGGATTAGTAAATAATATTCATACAGTACATTTTCTAAGCCTTGTCTAGGCCCATGACATTAGGAGAATAAGCAAAAGTTCAAAACGATGGGGCAACTGAAGTATTTGTTGGTTATGTCCTTAGGTAATTGTAGAACCCCTATTTCAGATTTTAGATGGATGCATATATGATGATTGAGCAAGCATAAAAATGAATAAGCAGCAAGTTTAACCCAAAAAGTAAGAGGCAAAATGCGAAGACAAGGATACACACTTGCTGCAGCAGAATAGCGGGAAGATTTGCCAAATCACAACCATATCTGTTTAAAGGGCAGTTATCATTGGATTTCCCCTCAAACAGACCAACAACATTGGGTGCACCTTCACCTTCCATGCTAATGGAATCATCACACACTGAAACCTTAGTGCGGAACTGAGACTTAACATTCTTGTCCAGGTAGGATGTGGGAACTTTCTTTCCTGCTGCATTGAGAATTGACTGAGGTACCTTCATCAAGAGTGTCCAGGAAGACTTTCGAGAGTGCCAAGTTAGGTGAGATATCAATTCCACATAAGGCGTTCGGGTAACCTTCAACAATGAATGAAAAACTAATTTTTAAGTTGAGATTCAAATTATTTCCCTTCAGAGTAAATTTTTTGAAAACTTTATGTATATTTATATTACTTGGGTCTTTATATAATAGCAATATCTAACATAATTAGAATAAGTTCGAACATATATATACAATTAATAAGAGAAAGGTAGGGATAGAGGAAACACGATGCTAATGGAACATAATTTGTAGGTTTGGTTTACGACTTCAAAACTTCAAAAATAAGAAGGAAAATCAAATTTGATTAAAGCTTTTTAAAAGTTTACATAAGTTTATATTTCTTAGTCTTTTATACTAGAAATATACTGATAAAATGAATTTGAACAATGTTTTTATTTTCCCCTATATCTTCTTTGCTTCCAACTTTCCCATATACGGAGTATTTTCCTCACTGTTTTCTTCCCAAGTACTCTTCGAGATATAAATAGACCTGTTTTCTTCCCAAGTACTCTTCGAGATATAAATAGACCCTAAAAGAAGCAATAAACATCATACCAGACTTTCCAGCTCTGCAAGAACCTTGTTTGAGAAGATTCTATGAGCAAAAGACATGCAGAAATGTCCAAGAAGATTTGGACTGTCCTTTGTAGGCAGAACGGATTCTCGAAGCTTGATAGAATTTGAAGATCTGTCTTTGGCTTTTACAAATACATGTTCATGGAATATTTGTTGCAAATAAATTTCAAAACTGACTTGATTCAGAGACCCTGACTTTTTCAGATATAATTTTTTATCATCAGAGTTTGATCCATCAAAAGATTCCATACTCATAATAGCAGCCCCCACAGTTTCATCACCTTCACCTCTGGTTGTTTTATCACCTTCATTGGATGGCACAAGTGAAAGGGAGACAGAGGTTCCTTGACGAATGCTTAAACGTAAATTATTCTCTTGAATTCCTGTCACATCAATGCCTAAAGATGGGTTGAAGGCTTCATGATTCACAAGATCAAACACCTGGAACCACATGAAACATAAAAGTGATCAAGGAAGTATTATTTGGTATATACTCCATCCCTAAAAAGTCATATATTTGGTATATACTCCATCCCAAAAAAATAATATATTTGCAAAAATATATCATATTTGAATTGTTTGTATTTGGACGAATAATTGGTTAATTTGCGGGAAAAATCAGCTCCTTTTGATGACAGAGGATTCTATTATAAGGGCATTTGTGGAAAAAAAAATTGAATTAGCGAAACAACCTTTTTCAGTTTTTGGTTAGATGGAGTATAAGATGCATCATAATAAGGACGCGTGGCTGATTACTTCAATAACTGAAGTTTTGCATTGTGATGATGGTTACTCGGAACAGTGATACCGCAACAGAAATACCTGCTCATCAAATATGGCTCTATGGACTTCACGTAGGGTACAATGTGTTCGTTTGACATGCTCATCGTCGTCTATTTCTTTCTTAGATTCTCCAGAAGAATCCTTAGTTTTGTCCTTCACTTCTGTCATGGTAGATTTCATGGCATTACCAGTTGAATATGCACCAAGAAACTCAAATCGGAGAGTTTTACATGAGTTAGGCGGCAAATTTACAGCAAGCATTCCATCTGAGTCATGCTCAATACGAACAGCAGAAGCAGAAGAAGGACGGAATAGAAGAGCCGGATCATGCAATGTATTGTCGATCAAGTCGATGTAAAATCCTTCATTTCCAGAAGCAGCAGCCACCATTCGATGCCATTTAATTTTCCAATTTTGTTGCAATCTATCCATTCATCACGAAATGAACTAAAAAGTACACATTGATTGGATAAAAGTGACACCAAAGAAGAGTAATTGATTGGGGCATGCAGAAGTTTCTCAAAACCATAAGAAAAAGCATCTAGTCAAGGTTGTCAAGGAGGCTATGTCAGGTGTGGCACTGGTGAACCACCTTGACGCATACGCTGCAGCGTAGACGAATGGAAGTATCAAATACTTGAATATTATATGTTTTTTTTGGCATATTCTTCTAAACCTATTATAATATCTGCTCTTGTTAATGCCAAGATCCTTGATTGGGATGGGACTTGAACTTGCGACCTCCTCTTTGAGAGATTAAGAGTGATGCCATCAAACCACAAGGTACTTGGCACTTGAATATTATATGTTAGAATATATAATACTACCTACGTCCCGCTAAGATTGTCCCATTTTACCTTTTCAGTCCATCCCACTAAGATTGTCCCATACCTTATTTGGTAAAGTTTGTGTGGCTCCAAATCATTCTTACTTTATCAATTCAATATCAACCATATAAACCACTTTTTATAGATTTACGTGCCACTCCCTCTTGTCCCATTGTTAGTGGGACAAAGGGAGTACATAAATTACTAATTCATCAAATTAATTCAAAACAAGGGTTTAATAGCAACTTCCAATAAATTAAATGACAAAAATAATAGCGAAAGGCTTTGATGTGAATCATCTGACCATCATCTAAAGATGATGAAAAAAGTATATAACGAAAAACGTTGACTACACAAATAAATAAAGAAGAAACAATGAAGAGAAGAGAAGCAGAAAAATGAGAAAAGGAAAGAAAATATAGGGAAAATGCAATCTTGAAGGCAGCAACAAGCCAGATAAACCTTTATATTTAGGGGTTTCATTTTCAGGTTTGATTTGGCTATTTATTTAGGAAAAAATGTTTCTCAGTGTGCCAAGTAAAAAATGATTTGGCAAAAAACCAACTTTCGGTACAGCCATGACTGCCTAGTCAATGTCGAAGAGATGCCATTCAATGCACATCTCTCTTCAGGCAGGTGGGCTGCCCTCATGGGTAGCGGAGTTAGGAGGGGGTCATACAAGACCATGGCCCACCCAAATCTGGTCTAATGAATTATTTTATGAGGTTGGTCTTCATATATTACTGAAATAAAATTTACGGAAAATATGTGATTCAAGTTATTATGGATATACTAATAATCACTAAAGTAACTATTATCGTCACTAAAGTATAAAAAGTCACAATTTTGTCCACTACCTTCATTTCAGTCATATATTAATCACTCTTTCTTTTTTATTTTATTTTTTAGTACGTACAATGCAATTGTAAAAAAGTCAGTGGAAATGAGCTATTGCCACCTGAGTTTAATCTAGTTAATCTAGTCAGTGGAATTTTTTTTTATGTAACTACCACACAAAATTGTGTAAAAATTAGTTAAAATAAAGAAAACGTATAAATTTGAATTGGAATGTTAAATCAATTGTGTTTTCTACACTTGATATTTTGTAAACCCTTTTCATATTAAAATATATATCGTTGCATTATTTTCACCCTTTGATTTGGCCAAGTCACAAGCCTTATATTTTGTGCTAACTATCCTGTTGCATGCACTGGCGAGCATTCTCCATTGCCGGGACGCATAAACACCTACACAATGCCTTGATAACCATATGCCTAGCAGACAAGCATTGCCCCCTCAACACAGATACAAACTCACCTAATCAGAGCACCATAAAATCTTGCTTCCCTAGCTACCTGCTTCTCTAATGCTTTTGCAGATTGCTTAAAATACTTCCCCAAGTGCTGAAATTGAAGGAACTTATGCATTGTTAGGGTAGAAAAAGGGTCGACTCACAGTAAGTTAAAAAACATTAACACAAATACCCAAAAAAAATTAAACACACCAGGAAATTCTGCAATTTGGTAGCCATAGACACAGCAAGGTCAGATAGAAGCTCATTAGGTAATTGCTTTGGCCTAGTCATACCAGCCACTGTTACAGCATCATTTGCTTCTACCTAAATAGAGCAACAGAGTCGGCAAGAAAATATAACTTTAAATATGCAGACTCTATTTATGATATTTGAGTGACGATAAAGTTCTTCTCGCCTAATTACACAAAAACTAGTATTAGTACTTACTCTATACATATTTATAAAGTACTTAACATGTTTTGTTGAGTACCAAACACCGAATTTGAATTGATGTACAGATTAAAAGAGACTTAGGTTGACCACATGAATAGTACGTGAAGCTTATTTCAGGTCAGGGGAGTAAATGATTAAGAGGTGATAAGATCCATAATGCAGATTCTTGTTGCATTTGCATATGATCAGCTCTTTCTTGAATATTAAGCGTATGCAATTCTGCATAGATTAATCCAAACTTTTTATAAACCACCAGCTCCTTCTTGAGATTTAGGGTATGTTTGACACAATTAGCTGAAAAGATACTTTTGTGAGCTTTTTAGTAACTGTTAGCTTTTAGTGACTGAAAAGATCTTAAAAAGGTGATAGTTGTTTGGTAAAAAGCTGACTGTTTGATTTAGTTCGGTTTGGTATACAAGCTGTTAGGACTAATTAATACTAAAAGTCACGAGCTTTTCTCAGATGCTACACCCGGTAGCATCTCAAAAAAGATCTTTTAATTTTTTAAAAGCTCTTAAAAAATGTCATGCCAAACATACAACTAGAGTCGTCTTTTTAAAGAAAAGAGAAGCTAGAAGGCAGAGGCTTTTGTGTGCCAAACATGGCCTTAAGTCATAAGAAAAATTTCCCAGCTAATGATACACCACCAGTGAGAACTATGCATAACCCTACGTTTCACAAGTTAATATATAGTCAATACTTCAACCATATTAATGGAACCACCTATCCTGATTACCATACACTACACACATTGGTGTTAATAAAACAAGGAGGTGGAGAACAGAAATTACAGTATTGATGAGATCAATAATGACAGAGAGTTCTTGATGAGCCAGCTGAAGATTCTCCACTAAGCTCTGCCACGGCCAGGGCTGATTGGCGGCCGTTTCCTTTGAGGAAGAACTTGAATCAGCACTACTCTTCTTCGGCTTCTTACTTGGATCCTCTCTCTCCACCGCCCAGCCGAAGTCAATTCTCCTAATCAAGCTCACTGTTTTCTCATCGTACCCTACATCACTTCAAATAAAACAAAAAATCGTATGAATTACAAGCTTGGATAACTCCAAACGCACATAGAATAATATACGCGGGGCGGTAGAGAAGAACATACCCAGGAAACCGTTCAACGCCGTTCTCCTCGACGAATTCTACGCGCTTGATTGGGAGCTTGTCCAGAGAAATTTGGAGGTCTTGTTCCTCCATACTTACTGGGATTTCATCAATAATTTTGCACGGTTTACTCTGAATTTCACTCTAATTGGGTAAATTGGGACGCAGTGGGCATATCACAATTCAAACAGGTAATATTAGAGATGCTCTAAGGGCCTGTTTGGATGGAGTGTTTGGAAGTGTTAGTAATGGAAGTGTTAGTAAGTGTTAGTAAGGGCTCGGAAGGGAAGGGAAGTGTAAGTGTTAGACATAATTTTACCTTGTTTGGGAGAGTCAAATGAATGAAGTGTTAATAATGGAAGTGTTAAAGAAAGAGTAAAGAGAAGAGATGAAAAAACAAACCATCAGACCTGTGGGAAAGACATTCGAAGTGAAATGTCGAAGCATTTTATGTTTTTCGGGCAAATGAGAAGGGTAATAATTGTCCAACACCTCAAAACACTCCAAATCGGGGTGTTAAAAAAATGGACAATTGAGGTGTTGGGAAGGTTATTATTAACACTTCCTAACCATTACTAACACTTCTTAACACCTCTGGTTTTTTCTCCCAAACAAGTGTTAGCATCAACACTTACTAACACTTCCATTACTAACACTCCTCAACACTCAATCCAAACAGGCCGTAACTTTCAGGAGTATGCGATATTCTTTTTGCACGGAAAAATAGGAGTATGCCATGGTTAGGGTAGACCCATCCTCAGTTTACGGCTTACAATTCAAACAAAATTAACATCGCCTGTTTTTGAACTAGAATCGGAACTGAATCCACATAGTACATCCTGTTTGGAACCGGTTCGGTTCTTCGAAAATTTAGAACTGGAATCAGCGATTCCGATTTGGAACAAGACTGTTACAATTTGGAAACAGAATTTTATTAAAAAATATATAAATAAATAGATAAATAAAGGTTTTTTTATAAGAATATTAATAAAATAAAACATATTTACATAAATATGACTATTCATTACTACAATGTGGTGTTGTGGTAACTTAAGATCAAAACTTGAACATGAATTACTATGATTTCATTACTACTTTAGTCACTAGTCATATTTTTGTAAATCATTCGGTCAAGAAAAAGGCATCGACTTTGAGGAAACATTCTCTCCCGTGGTAAAGATGTCATCCATCCGAGTTGTCCTTGGCCTAGCAGCAGTTCAAGATTTGGAGATTGAACAACTCAGTGTCAAGACGACATTCCTTCATGGCGACCTAGAGGAAGAGGTCTACATGAAGCAGCCCGAGGGTTTCAAAGTTCCGGGTAAGGAAAATCTAGTATGTCGCCTCATGAAGAGTTTATATGGCCTCAAGCAAGCACCGAGGCAATGGTACAAGAAGTTTGAATCCTTCATGGCAGAGATTGACTTTACAAAGACGAAAAGCGATCATTGTGTCTTCATAAAGAGGTATGAACGTGGCGACTTCCTCATTCCTTGAAGGCGTCAAGCACTTGATCCTTGGATTTTAATAGGTGCAACCAAACCTTCCTTGAATGGTCATCAATGAAGGTCACAAAGTACAATGCACCACCAATGGACCTTTCGGACATTGAGCATACATCGGTGTGTACAAGGTCAAGGATGTTCTTTCTCCTTGTGGGCGGAGAAGATCTTTGGAAAGCAATCCTGTGTTGTTTTCCAGCTAAACAGTGTGCACAAGGATCAAGTGACATACCTTTCACATCCGGGAGTAGTTGCTTCTGAGCTAGTATGTGGAGTCCCTTCTCACCGATGTGTCCAAGTCGTTTGTGCCATACCTTCATGTCATCAGTGGTTATATTTACTTCCCCTTTGCAGAGCTTGGCTTGCATCACGTACAATGACCCTTCCTTCTTTCCTCGAGCCATGACCATACTTCCTTTGGTGAGCTTCCATTTTCCTTCACCAAAGTAGTTCATCAGACCATCATCATCTAACTTTCCAGCAGAGATAAGATTGAGGCGCATGGCCGGGACATGCCTCACATCTCTGAGAACAAGCTTACATCCGGTGCTAGTTGTTAGGACGATGTCTCCTATCCCAACGATCTTGCTTCTATCTTGGTTTCCCATTTGAATCGTGCCAAAGTCACCGCTTTGGTAAGATGAGAAGAAACTTCCATGGGGAGTGACATGGAAGGAAGCACCAGAATCGATAATCCAAGAACTATCATCACAAGCAATGTTGAGGATATTACCTTCTCCAACGAAGTATAACAGATCTTCTTTTGCGACTACAGTAGAGGTACTCTTCTCTTCTTGCTTCTTTGTTGGGCTAACTTGGTCTGGTTTGACGTTACCGGCCTTTTGGTCTCTCTTGAGGGACCGCCAACCACCTGAACCACCGCCTCACTCTCGGAAGGAAGAAGATGATCAATTGGATCTCCTTTTCGGTGGCTGGTCAAACCGATGCTTAAGAAAATTTCTCCTCGATTGAGTTTCCTTTGTTGGTTATTGGTCAAACCAATTTTCCCTTTCCGGAGGCTGGTGAAGCTGGATCTTTTAGTTGTAATTTTTTATTTTCTCTTTGGAGTAGCAAGAAGAGAAGCAAGACTATTAGACTAGACTACATTATTGCGGGGAGGTAAGGGTCAGATTGGTACTCAAAATTGCATAAAAAGGGTCAAATAAGTCCTTTGGGGCGGTTCTCGATGAAATTTTTTGATGAATTTTTTTGAACATCTTATTCATTAAGTCTAGTTTACTCATACCAAATTTAAGCTAAAACTTCAATCGGGAAGACATTCAAATGAGTTCTTAAAGATAACTACGCTTTTAACTATGCAGATGTTAAAAGGCTATTAACTGGGTAACAAGAACACCCAAAGACTTTAAAATTTATAATCCGGAACTGAATTGTAGAGTTTAGTATAAGGGACTTGATGTGAAATAGAAGCTGAAGGTGTTCTGTTAATGAGATGAACAGAAATAGCAAATGCAGCATCCAAAAATTTGAATGGAAGAGATGAGTAGGCAAGTAAACTGAGGCCTTTTTCCACTATAGATCTATGTTTGCGTTCAACAACACCATTTTGATGGTGTGTATGAGGGCAAATCAGCGTATGTGTAATGCTTTTTTCAGTTAGGAATTGAGTAAAAGATCTGAATTCACCATCCCAATTAGATTGGACAGATTTTATTGAACACATGAATTGAGTATTAACATAAGAATGAAATTTTTTGAAAGCTACAAGAGCATCAGACTTTTGTTTGAGAAAGTAGATCCAAGTGTATCTAGTATAGGCATCAATAAATGCAATATAGTAAGAATAGTCATCAAAAGAAGTAATGGGAGCTGGTCCCCACAAATCAGTAAAAATAAGTTCAAAAGGAGTAGAGAATGTAGTTGTAGAAGGATAAGATGGTAAGCAATGTGCTTTACCAAGACAGCAAGCTGAACAGAAATGGATATCATTCTTAGATTGATGAGGTACATTACACTGTTTAAGAACAAATTTCAATGCCTTAAAGTGAGGATGGCTAAGTCTAAGATGCCAAAGATTACAAACAGTGTTGCTATTACTAGGCTGTAAAGCAAATATATCTTGAACTGACTTATTACATAAACTTTGACTATTAAAACAAGAAGAAACAATGCTTTTATTAGATGATTGATCATACCTAGAAGTGAAATTTTGACTTAGATTGTAGACATGTGCAGCTTGAACAGAAGTGAGATCTGTAAATGACTCAAATGTGTAGAGACCATCAGTGCCTAGCTTACCATGCATGAGAACTTGTTTAGAAGCCTGAGATTTGACAAAGCATTCTTAAGGGTAAAACTCAAAGAATACATGATTATCTTTGGCAAATTTACTCACACTTATCAGATTTTTGGTAATATTAGGAACATAGAGCATATTTTGAAGAGTTAGAGACATAGATGAATTGTAAGGAGATAGGAAATTAGAAAAACCAGTAGACATAATTTCCAAACCATGTTTGTTACCCATAAAAAGCTTATCAGTAGGTGTGGGAGATGTATCATGGTGTTGGATGTTTAAAGGATTTGCAATCACATGATGAGTGGCTCCAGAATCTGGAAACCAAGGCTGAGAGTTGATTTGTTGTGGTGCAGGTCCCAATATGGATTAGCAAAGGCCCAAGCATCAGAAGGATTATTGGCAGAATTATTGAAGTGTGAATTCCAGTTTGAATTATCACCTAGATGTAAGGAGGTGTAGGTTGATGATAGGGAAACATTTGTGATGAAGTTTGTTGCTGATAAGGAAAGGTTGGTGATGGAATTTGATTGAATTGTGGAGGACGAGGCATAGGATAAGGATTAGAGGGATGAGGATTGTAGTTGGAGGGCTGGGAATTATAGCTAGGGTTAAATCGATGATAACACATGAGTGCATTATGTCCTGATTTGCCACAGACTTGGCAGATAACAGATGATCTTCCTCCTCCTCGAGGACCACCTGTAGGACTGAAATTACGTCCTCTTCCTCTGGACTGATAACCTCCACGTTGAGTATTGTCAGTTTGAGCAAACTGAACTGAGCAGTGTTAAGAGAGGTCTTCAACACGAGCAATATATGCTGACAACAAATTGTTTTGCGAGGAGTCACGAAGTTTGCGGATGCGCATTTCTTTGGCAAGAAGTAAGGACTCAACCTCAAAGTATGTAGCTAGATCCAAGACGCTTCGAGCAGAAATTGACGAAACTAGGGATTCATAATCCTCCGTTAATCCTTCGAGAATAACATTGATTTGATCTTTATCACAGATCATTCAATTTTCAGGAGATATTCAGATATGGATTTATCACCTTTGACAGTGGAATATAGCTCTGACTTGAGTTGTCTCACCTTTGCGATGATATTAGCTTGGAAGAATTTGTGAAGTTCATCCCATAGCTGATACGATCTCGTGCAATGAATGACACGAGCATGCAAAGTCTCAGAAAGCGATAAAAGTAGCCATGAAAATAGCATTTGATCCTGTTGTTCCAAGGATATGAAAGCTTCGTTGACAACTCCATTA